GCCTGAACAGAGTCTAAGCACACTCTGAAAGAGCCCCAGGATAAAGTGAAGGGCAAGAAAACCCACAGGCTACTCTGTACTACTCACACTGAGCTTCAGGAGCAGCGTGAAGCTGAAAAACTAAAAGCAGGGTAGGTGGAGGTTTTTGTTTCCAAGAAGCAGAGCGCGCGTCCGTGGCGCTGAGCCCTTGCCAAGTACATTCTGTCTCCCTCTCTGCCACTCTTGGTTTCTGCAGTGCATCATTTCCTGGATTACTCTTACACAGAGTGGTCTTATCAGCTGGAAGGGCAAAGATTGAACCGTGAGTCAGCAGATGACACAGGGCACATCTCGTCTTCCCCAAACACACGTGCCCTGCTGGAAAGGGGGAGATATTTCCAACAGCAGCACTTGGAGTGTGTGTTTCCTCACTGGGTGCAGGTGGAACCAACCCAGGTCAACAGGACACTCTCCAAAAGGCAGCCTGGGGTCAGCTGAAAGGAAATGGATTTGTTACCTGCTTTACACACCCAAACCCGGGCACTTTTTATGGTGCCTTCTGTCTGCTGATGGATGAGCTGGAATCAACCAACCTCTTTTAAATCCCACTGCTGCTTTATTTCTCTCCTTTCACTGATGCTGTCTTTCATGCAGTCTTCAGACTAACATAGAAACCTGCACACAACTTGAGAGGTCTATTTAAGAAAAAAAAAAAAGTGGGCATTATACAGCAAAGCTTTTTAGCCAGCCTTATACTTAAACATATTTAGGCAAGATGCCAAAGAGTGGAGTTCTATTTTTCCAGCCCTGGAAGGAGACAGTTACTCTATCAGCCACACAAAGCAGACAGTAAAATATCCAATAAGACTGTTTTCATATTGCCACAGGAGATCCCATAGGAAACTCTCCCAGTTGGCATAAATGACTGGTTTTGGTGGGTGGAGAAAGGGTTAAGACAATTAGATAATCCTCTACCAGTGGAGTGGGGGAAATGAAAGGACTCCTAGCCTGAGTTTCAAGCAAACAAGAAGCAGCTCTAGCTCTTCTACTGATTTCATTGTTAGTGTTACAGGCTCAGTGATGCAGGCAAAAAGGATCCTGGTAAAGTTTTAGTACATGCTTGCCACAGTCAGGCATAAAAAGGGGCAGGAACCACAGTGAAGAGAATCTATGTAGCTGTGAATGGACAAAGCTGTCTAGTCTTTGACTACGCCTTAAAAACTCAATTAATCTTATTTTATTGAATGCACCTCCTTCCAGAATGCACTACTTATTGACACCATAAAGAAATAACAAGCAGAGATATTTCAACTTACTTCTCTAAAACTATTTAGTAATTTGCTCCCCATGAAAGATGAATCTTTTCAGCAACTCATGGATACTCAGACTTTTTTTTTTTAAAAAGGAAAAAGCTCAGATTTTGGCACAGAAGTCAGGGAGCTGTCATTTTACTCCTGCAAGAACTACTTCCATGTATTACTGAAAAGCATGTGGTCTAAGCAGCTGTAATGCTAGAATGTGTTACAACAGATTGTGCACTAACTTCCTCTGGCTCCCTGTTCTTGGAGCAAGCAGCAAGAAGTTTCAATTTCTTTCTTTAAGCAATGTGACGTGTTGGGGGAAAAAAAAACCCCATACCCAGTCTTTTACTGAAATACTCTGTTTTAATCAAAGAGCTCTTTCTTTGCACCTTCTGTGGTAGATCAGATCTTGCTCATCTTGGGAAAAATGCATGGAAACCCAGTAGAGGCTGCAGTGGCATGACAATAAACATGCAAAAAAGAAAGCAAGTTTCATTTCAAAGTGCTGTGGAACTCATTAGGGAGTTTATACAGAACCTGACTTGGCTTCCCTTGTAGTTCTGAGAAGGACAAGGAGTAAGAAGGAAAAAAATTAACTCCTTTATGTGTTTTCTTGGCACCACAGAAAGAATTCAACACAACACTTAAATAAGCAATCCCGTGTTAATTACTGACACATATCATACTGTCTGAGGAAAAAGGAGCATGCTGGTGCTGAAAATACTTCAACATCCTTAACAGGAGTAGGTTGTGCTTTAGACTCCCTTATTCTGGCCCAGCAAGGATACTTCCAGCCTGCTCTGTCTTGGATCCTGAGAGCCAGACCAAAGCACACAGCCTGTGAAAGCTCCTCTAGGACCACT